ATTATGATAAATGGAGATATTCATACTAAGTAAATTCGTGTTTAATTAATTTTTTATATAATTAAAAACTGTAGAAATTTTAACATGGGTCTTTTACAAGTATTTCATATTGTAATTATTTCATATTTATAAAAAAAATTCTTAAATAATATATTATGGCAAGTTATCACATAGTATATGGCACGAAAACAACTTTCACATAATCTCATCTAGCTCATAAACTATTATAGATAGAGCTTTGATTTAATTTATTTTAAAGATTAATAATTAGGCTACACATTAATATATTATTTGTTTGGTTAAACCCTCTTAATACCTTTTTTTAAAGCAAAAAACATGGCCATTCATGGCACATTTCCTCTACTTTTTTTTTAAACTTCAGCTCCTAGTTACTAAACAGGGTTAATGCTATATTTTAGATAACAAGACCAGATTTTTTAGGTGTTGGTATAAAAATCACATAATCAATAATAAAATTGAATTATTCCATTTATAAGTTAAAATAATCATTTTATTAAATTTCAGGAGAGTCTCGCGACAATAGGGCTTCATTTTGTACCCAATATTTCATTTTTTTACTAATTGTATCTTAATGCAAATTTACACAATACTATAAAATGTTTCTCAAAACATACAAGAATGCCAGAATTGATTTTTTTAAAAATAATTATATATATAAATATACCTATTTGTAAATTTTTTATTTTTACAAAGTGTTTTCATAAAAAGTTAAATACAAATATGAACAATAACAAATTAAAAAATAGGTTCTAAAAAATCAAAAAGAATATATTATATTAAAAAATTATATAAATAAATATTATATTTATAAAAATATTAAAAAGAACTTTAAAAAAAAGGTGCATATTATCACCCTAGAGAGGAATAAATGAATGCTTAGGAAGTTGGACCAGAGAAATCTGTTGACGGAGATAGAATCCTTGTTAGGGTTCGCTTGTGATCTACCTCTTTTTTTCCCCCTATTATAGTTTAAATTTGTTATTGAGGCTTCATCTTCTACCCAATTATTTTTTTTTGTTATTGTATCTTTAATTCAAATTTACATAATATATTTTTAAAATGTTTCAAAACATACAATATGGCCAGTGATTACCTTTTATTCTTTAAAATAATTATAATATTTAATAATTTAAATCAAAAAAAAATCAAAATAAAATAATTATTATAAATTAATAATATAATATAAATATGACCGATGGCCATAAAATAATATATTTTGGTTATAACCCAAAATTTAAAGTTTCTGGCACGGAATCATTATTTTAATCAATAATTTTCAGTGAATAGTGTATAAATTTTTTATAAGATAATCGGCCTCTTATAAGTTATTATAAATATATAATGTATAGAAGAAGTATTAAATAATTAAAATTATCCATAAATTTTCACGACATTTTCACTACAAATTTTTATTATAAAAATCATATAAAAATAATATTAATTCAAAATTGACCGGTTTTTAGCTAAAACAGAGGACCCTATCTGGGGTTACTGCCTACGTCAGAAGGAATAGTAAAAAGTAATTATCTCAACTTTATATTATCACAAACGAGGCCTATAAATGAACATCCTATATTTGGGATACGTTTTGAATTACCCAGTTTGATAATGGATTCATCGAGGCAAAAAAAAATTTTGAAATTTTTTTAAATAGCTTATATTGACGCATTTTATATAAAATATTTAATATTATTATATATAAGCTATTTAAAAAGTTATATAAAAATTGAATTATATTGCAAAAAAATATATTGAATTAAATTCTTAAAATGTATATACCGGGCTTCATGGCTTTTCAAAACTAAAACTGCTAGACACCCATCGTACAATTAAGTATCCTCAATCTTCAACCGAATGTCCACAAAAGCTATTTGATCCAACATCTAACTGACTATATAAATTGTATTTTGTGATTTTGGGTCAATGAATATTTTATAGTTCACGTCTGTAAAACATTTTATTACATTGTGCTTCGCTAATTCTAAACCTTGATCTAATCAACGTCAATGTATGATAGGATATTAATGTTTATTCCTTAAGATTAATTTTGAATTAAAATACAATTACATGGATATACTACCATTTTATTTATAAAATATTTTATGTTTATTTTACATTAAAAAATATTAATAATATACTAAAATACCACTATAAAAAAATTCAAATATTTTGTCAGGAGCATCTGGACCCCGCTTACTCTAGAGAGGTCTGCGTGGACACAATCTTTCCCCTGGACTTAAGGTTCAGCTGTAGTAATCTTACAATAGCAATGTTTTTATGAGTTTTGGTCAAATAAAAAATAAACTTTCATTATTTAGCAAAAAAATAAATAGGAGGCAACGATAAAAAACCAAGTCATTATATAGACCAGATTTAAGATTTTTATTTAATAGACGTATCATTTGTTTTATGAGTCTGTTAGATAAAAATTTAAAAAGAGAAGTTTTTTAAGGGCAAAATTTGTTAACGATTTTTTCAGAAGGAATCACTCCCCCCCCCCCCCGACTTTGCTTATATTATCATAATTAAAATCAATAAATACAAATTTAATCTTTTTTTAGAAATAAAGAGTCATAAAAACAAATATTTATTTAAAATGCAATTCAAACATATCAAACTTATTCATTAGATTATAAATATCAAAACAAATAATTTCAAAAAGGTTTTTTATAAAAATAAAGGTAGTAGTATAAACAAAATAAAAGGAATTTTTATTATATACTTAATAAATCTCATTCCTCCATCTCTCACTCACCTTCGTCAAATGGTATAATATAGTAGTGATAAGTAAATATTCCATCTTTTGTAAATAGATAGGAACAAAGTCAATAAACACTTGAACTAATTATATCTAAAGTTAATTAATTTTAGATTTTATTCTACTGCTATCTTATCATACGTGACTATTATATTGTACCATTTAATAAGTCAAGCCTCGTCATACTCCTTCGTATTTATAATATAAATAAAAAATAAATTCCTGATCAAATGATTATGGAATTGATTGATTGATTATAGCCTTTTACATTAAAATCCCTAAATAGATATCGTAATTTCAAATTTTCCAAATATCAATTAAATTAAATTATATCACTAATAAAAAATGATTGATTCCTTCAAGCTAAAAAAAAATAAATAAGATATTATTTATATTATTTTTTTTTAACATGATCATTTTCAGGTTTTTCTTATAAAAAAGAAAAATTTTTTTTTAATCGACAATTTATTTATATTTTTATAAAATATTAATTTTAACTTAATTTTAATTTTTAGAAAAAGAGAAACGTTTTTTTATTTGAAATATATTTTTTAAATATTTTGTCCGAATAATTTTAATTAATTTGTCTTAAAAAAAATTTATACATCTTTTCATAAAAGTGTTCATAATCCCATTAATTAATATTTTTTTAAAAAAAAATAATAATTTGAAATGGCTAATCAGAATTTTAACTTCAGCTTATCTATATTAATAGCAACATTCATGGTATCTATTTTTTCTAATATTCCGGGATGTTCAACTGACGAAGATAGTTAAACTTATTTTTATAATAATATACCTATATAGTATTATAATAATAGTAAAGGGTATTATTCTTAGAGACAGAAGAGTCAATTATTCAATTTTATGGGTTAGTATCGGGTGAGGGATAATTACAAAAATCAGACTAAGGCGGCTTTTATAATGGAGGTGGACATCCGAACCTTCAGAAGTCGATCTCATTGGAAATTATGTAAAAGTTCATTAACTTGATTTGAATAGCGTACTGGTGGGTACATTTTTAGAGGCGGGTCGTATCAAGATGTATGCTTCTATAAACATTTATATCATCTGGATTGATTTTTTTTACGGATCACATGACTTCGAGCGTCCCATATAATTACTATCTCAAATTTTTTTTCTTCTTATTTTTATAGATTATTTGGAAGATGATTAGAAAATTATACTGTTGTTACTATTAGCCAGTTTAATAATTTATTCAACTGTTTTGAAAAACGATAGAAAGATATTTTTTTCAATTATTTTAAAAAAAAATTAAAACAAAAAAATGAAACATTTTTAAAAGGCAATTTATCTGAGAATAAAATAATATATTTTTCCAAATTGAATACATTATTTATATATAAATAACATAAATTATCTGATTAAAGCAAAGTTTAACATGCTCAAATTTCAAAAATCTTCAAAGATTCTTAGTCTTTTGATGATCAAAAAATGTGAAAATTTTTGTTAAACTCTGATTTAAAATGTATTTAAAAATAAAATTCGATAGAAATTATTTCCAGGAATATTAAAAATAAGTTATTCTTATAGTAATATTCATTTTTTTTTATATTTGTTTACCATATTTATATAACATAATTTGGTAATAAATACCTTTAATTAGCTAACAATATTTAAAAAAACTCCCCGAAATCGAAAAAAAGAAGAAAATATTATCATGTGAGAGGTTTGCTTGCCATAGATTAGCTTATTTTATCTGCGAATTTTGGCTCCATTTCCAATCTTCTCCATTTTGAAATTACTAGTTTCTAAAGGCATAAAAGATATTCTTCATACATTTAGTTTTAACGATTCTTTGGAACATTCAAAATATTAGAAATAATGAAGTGGAAATCCTTTTATAGCTCTTTGAAAGACTTGAAGATTTCAATTCTTAGTGAAATTCACGAATTAGAATTGCAGCTTATAAAACATCACTATATCCAGTTCCTTTTACCTAAAGCAAATATTTAGGCTAATATTTTTATAATTAAAAATTTCTTCAGGAACCTAAATGTTTTCTTTGATATTTCTACCTTTATTTTTTAAAATATATATTTTTTACGCCACTCGTTATATAAAGTAAAATAGTAAGTATAGACAAAGGTATCTGGTGGCTATTTTTAATCTATAATGATAATTTAGTTATAAAACTATTTTCGTTTTAGATTAAAGTCATACATATATTTTTAAATTAGATCTGTCCAATACTTTTGACATGAGTGAAATAACATTCTTGATGGATCAAAGTATCGATCCATGCACAGATTTTCACAAATACGCTTGCGGAGGTTACATTGAAAGCACTTCCATTCCTGACGGTTATAATGAATGGAACCGGTATACCCAAAATTACGAAGAGATACTTTTGATCATCAAAAATTTATTGGGTAAGATTAATCATTAAGTAGTTAACTTGAAATTTGTATCCACATTATGAAGAATTAAAGTTATTTTAATTAAAAAAAATTTTTATGTTTAAATTAAACCGTATTTTAATTTATAATTTATTTATTTCTTATAACATATTTTTTGTTTATTTTATACCTCTCTAAGTTAAAAAAAATACACGATTTCATAACAACAGATATATTACATCCTAAATAATAGACAGCTAAAAAATAAACCGAGTTTAATATTTTTATGGTTGATTTATTAATAATATCTAAACTAATTAAAAATTGTAAATTTTGCTTAAAATAAAAGTGATAGTTAAACTGTAGTGTATCTTATGATCGTCAAATACAACATCTATATTTAATTTTGGCATGTCTAAAATATGGATGGATAAATGGGAGGGGATTTAGGTAGGGAAGATGGAAGTAATTTGATTTGAAAAGAAATGATAGAAAAATTTATAGTTAATTTTTAAAAATTGGATATAATTATAAATTCTTTTACGATAATGGGTAAACCCTCCCTACATGTAAATATATCTCAAAAGTTTTTTTTAAAAAAAAAATAAAGAAAATCCTGACACAAAATACGAAGGAGAAGCCGAGAGACAAGCCAAAATATATTATGATTCTTGTATAGATACAGCCAACACTAGGGAACAATTGCAAGGAAATCCTTTAATCGATCAATTGGAACTGTATGGGGGCTGGGACGTGATAAACGCCGATAATAAACCTTCCCCTTTTATAGACGAATCTTCCGGATTCAAACAAAGTATTTAAATTTATATTTTACATAAAACACACTGCTTGAGTCCTAAAAAAAACGTTGCCATTCAATGTTATTTTTTGAACCCATTTCATATTTGAATGTAATTTTGTCAATAATGGGGTCTAGACTTACGATTAGAGGGTGGTCATCATTTTCGACATTCAATAACATATTTCCTTTAGAACCGGAAAAGGTTTATCAAAAAAGGGGAATTCAGATCTAAAATTAATAAAAAATAAAGGAATCCATATTTAAAATTAGTCAAAATAAATGAAATGAAATCCTAGTAAAACAAAATTTCTGAGGCCTTACAATCTCCACGAAATGTGTCCTTTTAATACGCCATTGATGGCCATATTCGGAAGGTTCATTGTTACTGCGTATCATTATTTTATAGAATTATATTTAGTGTCTTAAAATTTGATGATTCAATGAAAAATAAATTTAAAATCAATTAGTGTTGATGATTGCTACAAAGCAAATTTTAAAATGAAACTAAGTTTCTCTGTCAAGTTTGAGTCAGGTATTAGGAAATAAGCAAATTATTTAATTATAAATCAAAAAAAATTTTTTTTGATCAAATTTAATTCAAACAAAGTTAATCAATAATATTAAAGGTTTTGTGAATGTCGATAATATTAACTCTTCTATATCCTTATATGTATAAGTTTATAATTGAAACTATATTTATTTTAAGATAAGTGTTTAGATGATGAAAATTTTCCTAAAGCATTATGTTATACTTTAAATATAAGGTCCATATTAGAGTATTTACTAAGGTGATTTTTTTTGTTTATAAAAATAAACAAGAATGGTAACATCAATTTTGATTAATTATGTTGCAATATAGTGAAATAATAATATTATATTACTAACTTCCCTTTCATTTATTTCGTTTTTTTTGCATATATCTTCTATTTTAATTAAAATGAATCACATTCGTCTTCTATGCAATCTTTCTTTATCAACAAAAAGTCATATTCCCCGATAGAGGCTTCGCTAACGATCCTGAATTATTTAGTGTGGATTTGAACATAGATCCCAAAAACTCTTCCAGATATTTACTCACCATCTCTGTAGGCAAGCTCACTCTCCCAAACAAGGACATCTACGAAGTCAATGCCACGCTTAAGAATCAAGTACTTTACGATGCTTACTTGAAGTACATGACAAACGTTGGAAAGTTGTTGATATCGAACAGTCAAGATGTTTCCAAAGAATGTGATTTGCAAGAAAAAGAGATAAATGTCAGTTGTAACGACATTAATGGCGATTTGCAGAGCGAAGAAGGTCAGCAGAAACAGATAGACGATCAACTCAAAGAGGTTATGTCAAACGTTCTGGAATTCGAGAGCGATATGGCTAAGGTAAAATAAAATAAATAATTTAAATACTACGTATCATTTATAATATTTTAGAAAAGGATTTACTAGTTTTAGTTATCCTTAAGCCCCCTGCTCCGCTATAACGCCGTTAATTTTATTATAGTTAGCTACCCCATAAAAATAATTTTTTTTTAAACTTAAACTTCTAGTCATCATTTTTGCTCGCAATTCGGAATCAAGAAATCATAATAGATTTTGAAGATGTTATTTTCATTTTTTTATACTCTAAAAATCTCATTTCTATTAAGACAGTTATTTTATATTTTTTTAAATTTAAAAAATAGGAACAAATAACCAAAGTAAATAGTGTCCACTGTTTTTCTAAATAGAAGTCGTGGCCCTTGTTTTATTTATTAATTTATAAATGATAATATTTCGGTATAATAATGAAGGAAAGTTAGTATACTAAGGTTCAGGCACATCCAAATTTTAGAAAAAAAGGATATAGTATGGTTATTAAGAATGTTTTAAACCCTATAGATTGTAAATTAGGTTTAAAAAAATATAAAATAATGTTTAATGGGCTGAGTGTCTAAAAAGAGTTGTTTTTTTTGCCGTGATGAAACTTTGTCGCGTATAGCTAAATTTATAAATTACTTTTGATTTATTTCCTTTCGACATTCAATCTGACTTTTGTTATATATCAAAAAAAACACATTATACCCATTTTAATTCAGATTACTCCACCATTGAAAACTCTCTACACTTTTGAGGAATCGCGATATGTCGTAATGTCGCTGAAAGAGTTGGACGAAAAATTTGATTTCGTAAGTTTTTAGAAAATAAAAATTTTTAGAACCTTTTTTTAAAGCTGGACCTACAGTTTATTGTGAATTTTTAAACTATAATTCACAATTTTTTAAAATTATTTTATATTGGTGGCTAAATTTGACAACTACCAAAAAAATCAAACGTTTGCGACAGAAATCATAGTGGACGTTTACAGCTGATTTGAGTCTAAAAATTTAAGTGGTATCATGTAGGATTTTTTGTATTTAATTTGAATCCTGTGATAATATAAGAATTTTTAATATTAATAACGAAATGTCTATTACATTAAAAGATTTTATAAACTCAATCAGCTGTTAAATAAAGTCCTATCACTTCACTAAGAAATCCGTCTATAAGAAAATAAAAAAGATAAGTGCGTTGAGGGGAAATTTAAATGAAATTGTTTTAAGTTAATGACTCAAAACTAACTGATACCAAAAAATAACGGGAAATATTAAATATTCAATTAAAACAAAGATGAATTGGAAAAGATTCGCTAATCAAATTTATGGACCTCATAATTTATTTTTATCTCCCGATCACCCTTTTTGGGTCAGGTCCTTGCCCTACATGGAAAAGCTAACTATTCTTGTCAAGCGTTATTTAAATGACCCCGAATTATCTAGGTAAACTATTTTATTAACAATATGAAAATTATAAAATATATTTTCTAATATGGGGCATTCTATATTGATCTCTATTTATAGTAGTGTTAAGTATTACGATGAGACAATTTGCTGTAAAATAAAATCAGTTGTGACATCGCTTAGCGCTGCTCAGCGCATTTTCTAACCTTCATCGCGGTTACTGTAAACGAGGTCTTACCTACGAGTTTTAGTATTGCTCACAATTTAAATGATTTGATAATAATAAAAAACAATCAAGATCAGAATGAGTTAAAATAATATCTTTAAAAAAATATATTAGAGTTTTAAATGACTACATAATGTGGCAGAGGACAAAACCACTGACAAATTACTTATCGCAAAAGTATAGGGATGCCTTTGACCCAGTTCAAAAGGCGGATAAAAAGGAAAATTATGAAAAATTGCCTGCTTGGAAAAAATGCCTCAATGAATGGCCTACATTTATGCAGTTCCCGCTCAGTTCCCTATATCTGAGATCTAATTTTAATTCCAATGATAAAGTTAAAGTAAAAATATCTATTACTAATCAGGAATCGATTGAAAACCAAATTTTTATTTTTTTTTAGGTGGAAGGGATGGTTGATTTGATAAAGGTGGCTTATAAAGAACGTTTAACTAATCTTGATTGGATGGATGATCTCACGAAGATAAAATCTGTGGACAAGGTTTATTTTAAAAAAATTTCTTATTTCCTTTTAAAAAGTATAATTTTAGTAAAATTTTATTTTTGGTTTTAAAACATAAGACCCTGGCCATTTTTTTTAAAAAATTTTAATATATTTTAGTCCCAAAAGGGTTTTTTAAAAAATTATGACTACAAAATGAGGATCTTTCTGGATAAGGGTTTTGTATGACAATAATAAGTTATACAAAACCCTAATCTAGCAATATTAATTTTTTTTAGGTCTTAAATTGTAAATACAAATGTATAAAAATGAAGTCTAAAATATTTTTCATTGTGCAAATATAATACAATTTTTTGATAAAGTATACGAATTCCTCAGCTAGCAGGATTAATTTATTTGGCCCTTAAATTACAAATGTAGAAAAATATTTTTAATCTGACAATTCATTTAACAATAAGTCAAATAATAAATTAACAAAAAAATATTAAAAAATATTTTTTAAAAATTTATATACATATATTATTAGGTTGATTCGCTAAAAGTCAAAATTGGTTATCCTGAATACGTAGTAGATCCCGTTAAATTGGACCAAGATTATCAAGGAGTATATAAATAGAAAAATAATTAAGATTACTAATTTAAGAATGATAAATATTTATTCAAAATTAGCTGCATTTGTTAATTAAAATAAAATATATATAAATATGCAATAATTAATAAAACCAACCAACTACATAAATACTATTTAAAATCATATTAATTTGTTTTATAATTCTGTAAAATTATCAAACTAAAAAATTAGGAGTTAAACTTTCCTAAAATCTATTTATTGAGGTTTATCGCTTGTAAAAATTAAAAATTATAAAATAATTTTATGTAAATTTCCCCTTTTGTGTGATCATAGTTAAAATAAAATGGAGTGGACCAACATTCCTCTGTCCCCATGCCCGGTGTTTCTTTATAACATACTTTACTTTTAAATATATTTAACTCTTTTATTTTTTATTTATATCTTAATTGTGGATATGAGAATTGATTTTTTTATAATATTTGTTTACGATCACTTTTAGTTAAAATTCATTTATTAATCCTAAAAAATTAATGAATCTTCACGAAGTTACAAAAATAAAAAACACAAGCCTAAAATTTTGTAATCAATATTTTTTTTATTATTTTCATTTTCTCATTATCATTTTTTTTATTTTTTTTTAAAAAAAAATAAAATAAAACTAAAGCTAGATATGCAAAAAGACACTTTCTTTAAAAATTTCTTTAGCCAAAAAAGGGTAAAAGAAGTAAACGAGTTCAAGAGAGTTTTTAAACCTGTCGACAAGGAACGGTAGTAACAATATTTACTTTAATTTATTAAAAAATTTTGTTAGATCATTAATAATACACAAGATTACAGATAAAATAATTTTTTTTAATGTCGTATTGGTGTATATTAGGTGTTCTGGGGGCAATTTTTTAAATTATGAAAAATTAGTGTTACAACATTTGAATTTCAATGCATTTTAACCCTTAAATTTTGTGTAATTATTCAATAAGAAAAATCTATATAAAAATGAATATAAGTTTAAGTTTTGTTTTTAAATGTCAACGGAAAAATGGTTTGAAATTCACAGTGTGAATACTTATTTTATACGGGATGGAATATATTTCCAGTCAAATCAGCGTCTAAAATAAATTATTTGAGATTAAAAATCCTATAGATTCCGTATCCCAATACGACACATATAATCTTTTGAAAATAATTGTGCATAAAAATATATTTAAATATTCTAAATTTAAAAAAAAAAAATAACGTTGCAATCTGTATAGATAGAAATACTAAAATCTATGTTTGGTCTTATTCCAAGAAAATTTTATGTGGAAAAACTATTTTTATCATTTTAACGGAAAAGACCTAGATATATTTTGATCTTTTTTCAGTAGGGAAGAGCGGGGATCATGGTATGAAAGGCAAAGTCAATAAAATTAAAACTACTTAATAATATTGAATAAATATTATCACAATTCCACTTATGCTACATAAAAATTATTCTTTAAAAAATTATTTTTAAACAGTATTCATTTTTCTAAAAACAAAATCAGAAGAAGAATGAACCGTGAGGGTTTTTTGAGCTGCAAAACATAGATTTTCTTTTAAATGCAAAAATGATATTTATTATTACAACTAGAGGGCTGCAATGGGCGGTTTTTAGCCGACAAGCCTGTCCGTCCAACAATTTTTAAAAATTTAACCAGTCCATAGTTTTAAAAAAATATACCATCCCTTAAGTCTAAAATTCTTTACCCACCCGCTCATTATTTATGGAAAAAATTTTAACCCACGCTACTCATAAAATTTTAATATTCTTTCAAATTTTTTGGCATCTAATAATAAATCCCTACAAAAATTTTTTTATAATTTAGGAAATTGCTATATAAAGTTAAAATTACAGGGAGCATATTTTTTTAAATGTTTACTTCAACTGATTTTAAATAATAAATAAGGTTTTAAATTTAACCCCCCCCCCCGCTCGCTCTTTAAAAAATTTTAAATAGCTCGCCCGCCAGCTGACTTAGATGGGTGGGCGTGGGTAGACGGGTTAAAAAGCCGCCCAATACAAACCTCTAGTTGCATCTACTTTGTTGATAAAAATAAGCCATAGTAGATAATAATTATGAAGAATTATGAAGAATTAATTTTAAAATTGCAACAAGGATCCTTGTGCCCAAAAATATGATTTAATTCGGACAAATACGCATGAACAATTAAGATGCATTTACTAGATAATTAATGTAGGTTCTTGCTCTGTCATGAAACCTACATTTGTTTTCTGCATAATGGCTACAGTAAAGAACCTATTTTCAAATATATTCATTGTTTCTTTTATTTAATATAATTTTTTTTACCATATTCAAATTTCAATAAACGAAATTTAATTGTAAAATAAGCGCTCGTAAAGCTCTTACGTCTGAAAAGTAGTCTCAGACCCTCAATAGCTTTAAAATTTATTTATGCTAGTTTAAGCATATTTTTTGTTAAAATATAGAATAATTATATGTAGAATAAGGTTTAATCCTTTATATAAGAAAGTTATTGAATAATTAGACTATTTTTGATAAATCGTAGCATTTACAAAGTTAAAAATAGATGCTTATTTTAGTAATATATATTTGGCTAAAAAACATTAACCATTGGAGTTGAGCACTTTAGAAGAAAACCCTGAGGCTCGCAAGAACCTCGGGCTTATAAGAACCCCGTTATAACCTATTTATTCATTTTTTTGCTAAGATATACTAAATTCTTAGGATATCATTTATCTACATACAGGGTTCAATACAAGTTATTGTAGGCAGAGATGCATATTTTAACTCTAATGGTGTTTATTAATTGAGCTAAAGCGTTTAACCTTGTGTTATTCCCTAAAAAAAATGCTAGGTTGTTTAATTTAAGATGGCATTTTATGATAAAAATATAAACTATTTTGCGATTTTGAAAGCAAAAAAATCTGAAATATGCAACATAAAACGCTTCGATTTGCAAACACTATTAAAAATTATAAAAAAAAATATATAGTATACATTAGCATTTAAAAGCAGGTTTAAAATGCCTGATTATTGCTTATGTTTTAAGTAGATTTAAATAAAGCAATTTCGCGTTAGTTTTTTGACAATCTTTTTTATAAAATTTGTACTTATTCAATGGTTATATATTGAATTAATTATTATAGATATTTAAAATATCAAGGTATAATATAAAATATGGAATGAGATAAAACAATTTGAAAATGGAGGTTTACTATACCCGACTCACTCACTAACGTTTCTTACACCCAATGACATATAAAAATACCTAGAATAACACTTCATTCATTTAAATGTGTACCAATACAAATCAATTGGTGATATGATCAAATATTTTGAAATATCTTTTTTAAATCGGAGTTAAAGGAAAGGAAAACCAAAAATGGCATGTCACCAGCTGATTTGTAAGTCTATTTATGTAATCAAATGGCATAAGCTTCCACCTTTTCTCCTCGAGGATTAATAATAACCAAAGTTCCTTTAAAGAATATACTAAAATCTTGTGATAGTCATTCTAATTTCTCTAATTAGAATGACGCCTTAAGAGTTAAAAAAAGCTTTCGATAGCTAATATTATTTTTATACATAAAAATATTATTAATTAATAAAAATTGATAAAAAAACGTCAATCAAATTAGGACAGTTGTTCTTGTACATTAGGAAGTAAAAACAAGAAATCAAGTTTAAACTGAACCTAATAACTTTTTTTTACTGAATAAATCAAATTATAAAATAGTAAAACAATTACAGCGTGCACGGGTTTATGTAGATTTTTGGGTCAGCTTTCTTTCTTTCTTTCTTTCTTTCTTATAACTAATCCGTTTATAATGTTAATTTTTTTTTATTCTACTTTGTAAAAATTGAATTTATATGTTTAAAATTCATATTATATTATATTTGTATTGAATATGGATTCATACAATTAATTATATTTTTAATATGTAATAGGTGGTTTTTACCTCCTCACACCGTTAATGCATATTACGATCCTTCCAAAAATGAAATAGGTTTTTATAGTTTTAATATATAAAAATAATTTTAAATAAATAAATGGCAACATTTTATATACATTATATAATTCAAGTGTTTTTGGCTGGAATTTTGCGAAAACCGTACTATGATAAAGCTTATCCAGAGTAAAAATAACATAAATATACTAAATATATTATCATTTTATAGCGCATATCTTTTTGGAGCTATAGGATCCATTATAGCTCATGAAATAACACATGGCTTTGATGACAACGGTAAATATATGTTAAAAAATATATATAAAGGTAAAAGGAACGAGGTAGGAAAGAATATGAAAGGTATGGTAGGGTAAGGTAAAGTGAAGTACATAGGCTAAATTCAGTTAGATAGATAAATAACCCATTTAATTACTCATGTTTCTTCCACCCATTGAAATATAATAATACCTGAAATGACAATTTATAGGTAGGCAATACGATAAAGATGGGAATGTGAACTTGTGGTGGACCAACAAATCAATAGAATCTTTCGTCGAAAAAACGAATTGTTACAAAGATCAATATTCAGATTACTCGATTGATGACCATAAGGTTTATTTTCTCCCATATAGATAAAATATAATCGATCTGTTTTAGGATTTCATATTATTTTGCCTTTGAGCTTTATATTTTTTTTGTCTTGTTTACAAAACAACGTTTAAATATTCAAAGAATAATCTATTGGTCCGGATTTTATGTTCACCCCATGAAATACTAATTTAATTTTGATTGTATATAATGTAGCGTGAACGTTGGATGAATATTTTTTATATTATTAATATTTCATATAACAGTATAATATCTATAACTATTGTTATGTAACTCATAAAATATTTAAAGCTGAACGGCCAACTAGCATTAGGAGACAATATAGCAGATAATGGAGGCGTCGCCATATCATTACAAGTTTATATTTTTTTTATTCGTGAAGCAAATCATCAAAAATTGATCATTATTAATTTTTTAAAATTATATAAAAAAACAATATTATAGAAAAAAATCTACGTGGCTTGCTTATAATACCTGTCTCCTAAAAATTCCAAACTATAAGAATTATAAAACCCCCAGGCTCATAAGAACCCCGGTCTCCTTTAATGTATCTAAGTTAAAATTGTTCAGCAAATATTAGCTATATAATATTTATTATATATATAATGCATAAAATAAAAGGGGAATAAATCTTAATCCCTCTGTTTTCAAATATTTTTAAATAATGGATCAACACTAACCAAGACCAAAATATCGCGTTCCCTCTTATTTTATTATAATAGTGCTTACAAATTGAGCAAAAGCATTAAACTATCTGTTTACACAAACTATTTTGATTTTAACCCAAAATAAAAAATTTATCAATATGGTCGATAGCATTTGATATTCATGATTAAAAAGACACCAAAAAAACAAAGCAATTTTATTTCATACAATTTTATTATACTTATTTAAAAAAATTTAAAAAAAAATTAAAAGTCAATATAAGATGTTAATCACATTTAAATGCTAATACTTATAATTATAATAAAATTTCATAGTTAATTTTCTCTAAAAAACCGTACAAATTGTCACCACAGAGCACACAAGTTCAAACCAATGAACGTTTTACTTTGCTCAGATAAATTTATAAAATAAAATAGTAGTTTATTTTTATTTTTCGATATAAATTTTAATAGTTTTATGAAACTATTTTTTTTTTAAATTAGGCATTAAAAAATTATCCTACCAAGAACAAGATTGCTACATCTTCTATTTCCAGTATGACTGATGATCAACTGTTCTATCTTGCTTATGCCCAAGTTTATAATTAATAATTTGCTATGAATAAAATTGAAATTTAAAATACTAATAAGGCTTATTGTTCTATAGAGACACCCGAGGCGCTATATTTACAAATTAAGACCGATTTTCACAGCCCAAACAAATACAGGTTATTTATATATTTAAAATACATAGTATATAAATGAATTATTCTTATTTTGAATTCTTTCTAAACCTAAACTTATATGTCCTCTACAATTAACGAAACGTACTATAAAAAAAAGCATGCTTTATTAGTGTCCTGATAGACATTTTTTTTAAATTTAATAAATTCCTTAAACTGTACCAAGCACAATTGTTTTAGACCTAGCTATAATCGATTTCTTAACGTTGCGTTTAAAACGCTTTCAATAAACTCAACTTAACTAGCAAAATACACGACTGTAATATAACTTCCTTATTGATTTAAAATTATAATTATCATATTTATTATATTGAATGCACAGAATAATCGGAGTTGTATCGAACCTAAAAGAGTTTTCAGAAGCGTATAACTGTCCAGCCAATTCAAACATGAATCCCATTAAAAAATGTACTTTATGGTAGTTTTTAGAAAATTTTTTTTTGGGGGGAAAAAGAATACAAGAAGAACAAATCAAAAAAAAAGCGAAATAATTCATTTCTATAATATTCTAGAATTTATATTCATTCAAATTAATTCTCTCATTTATTACTTTTATATAGGGTAAAACCGGAGTTATGGCGAACCCTAAAAAGCAAACCTTAATAAAATTAAACAAAAAATATATCATTTTGTTCAGCTCTATTAGTTTGATGGTAGGTTTAAATTTTAAAAATACAGATCTATTACCTTTTTCGAAATTTTATCTTTTCTGGAATTTTTTTTTGGAAACTAGTGAACCCTATTCGGGAACGAACTAGCCTTTGCTCGGGGTTATTATAAGCTCTGCTTAATTTTTCATTAGAACTTATTTAATGATTTTAAGCATAAAAGTAATACATATAATCATTTATAAACAAAAAAAATGGGATTATTATTCACAATTTTTGCAAATAAAAAAAGGATAAAAATTATAACATCTTCCATGTGATCAATAAATATATTTACGACATTGAAACCAGTCTTGATTGTTATGATGCTTGTAATACATCTTTTTTTTGCACACTTAACATGTTTTTCTTATTAATAATATTTTTTGATTTTTTTTTCTTTTATTTGATCTCTCCAATGGTCTTTTTTTCCATGTTAAAATTTATAAAAAAAATGGAGAAAAAGGCTCGTTCTAACTTCATAAAAATATCCCCACATATTTTGATTCAATTCTGATCGGGTACATTGATATTCTATAAAAATAGAATTTTTTTTCTTTTATATAAGATGGTTTTTGGGTGGTAAAAAAATGTATAGTTTAAAAAAGTTACTTTGCAGGTAAGAATCATCTAATGCCGTATAAAAATTCTTCAAGCTGTCAGATAGAAATATAAATTATAGCCGCATATGCATTATATAATTATATAGTTTTGGTTAAAAAAAAGTTAACCCTTAGAGTTTAATACTCTAGAAAATAAAGCCACATCTCGCTATAACCCTGGGTTCATTATATCACCGGCCTCCCCTACTCTCTATACTGTATGTTACCAATTTGAATTATATTAATCTGGGTGATATTAGAAATGAACCATTTATTTATAATAAATTTTTATATATATTAGATCTGTAATGATATATATATTAAAATTAGACATGATATTGTTTGTAACTATTAAAAGAGATAACTATAAAATAAATAAATTTTCTGGCATAAAAAGGTTAGAAAATAATATTTTTAAAAAATTTTCTGGAAAGACTTTGAAATAAACGAAATAGAGGAAAACGAAATTAGTCGAAAACGTAATTACCAAATTACTTCCAATTAATACAAGATATCGTCTGCTGAGTATTGTAGTGTTTTATTTTTTGTATCCATTCTTAATAACATTTTAATAAAATAAGATTTCTTGAATGTTAAAGATCACATTATAGTATTCTAAATTATCCTCCAATCAAAATGCAATTTACGAAAATGTAGATATAGAAAAATATAATAATCCACCGGTAATATATTATGGGCTAATGTAGAATTTCAAATCATTCGATTTATTATTATAATAGGCCTTACCACGGACTGCTTAGTAAGCCCAAAAAAGTAAACAAAATTGGGCAGCTATTGATTAACCTTTTATATAATTTAAGAAATCGTCCGGGCTTATATATTTTTTTATTTCTGCATTTAGAATGGTCAAAAATATTAAGATGGCAAGCACTTGCACTTTACACGCAATTATTTAATACTAGCAGATAGCAGGTCGCGGAAGACGGGTGAATCACAATTTTTCCTTTTATTTGGGATAATGATGTATAGCATTGAATGGTTTCTATACTATATCGGCGTAATTTTTTCTTTATATACAAAAAATATTTGTGGTTTAGGAGTAGTTGAGGCGGTGTGAGTCAGATATATACCTTAATTTTGATAAGAGATGATTCTGAACTAAAATCTCAGAATTGTCAAATTTCTTCATAAATCATAGAGTAAAAGAGAAAATTGTGATTCATATATCATTCTTGGAGATCGACTTGTCATAATATAATATACATTCTAAAAAACAAATTTATAAAATAATATCCAAAATGAATAAAATTATAAAATAATATATAATGTAAAACAAACAAAATTGTAAATGATATACCATATCAAATGAACTTAATCGTAAAATAATATAATTCTAAAATATACAAAAAATTATAAATTAATATACAATATTAAAAAAACAAAATTATTAACTATACAAACCAAAATGAACCAAAATTTTAAAATAATATAAACTTCAAATGACAAATATGAAAAAAGAGTGTTTAAAAATAATATACAATCTAAATGAAACCAAAATTATATATATTCTTACACAAAAAAATTATTAATTAACATACAATATTAAAAAAACATTATAAACTATACACACCAAAATGCCCCAAAATTATAAAATAATGTAAATTTCAAATGACAAATATGAAAAAAAGAGATTGTTTAAAAATAATATACAATCTAAATGAACACAAAATTGTAAAATAAATTAATAAATAATCTAAAATGAACGAAATTGGAGACATTGTATAATCTAAAATAAATAAAATTGTAAAATAATATATAATAGTGTTGTTAAACGCTTATTTTGAGCCGATTTTTAAAAACGGCTAACTCAATATTTTGGCCTGAAGAATATAGCCTAAACCTTGAGATTTTACTAATAGATGTCCAAACCTTTGTTCCTTCTACAAACAAAATCGTCAGGCTTGCGTTATATTATTCTGGATGAAATAGTGAGTTAGCCGTTTTTAAAAATAGGCTTAAAACGAGCCGTTAAACAACACTAATATATAATATTGAATTAACAAAATTACAAAATAATATACATTATTAAGTAAATAAAATTGTAAAATGATATAAAATCCAAAATGAATAAGTAAAATTATATACAATCTAAAATGAACACAAAATTGTAAAGTAATATATAATCTCAAATTAACTTAATCGTAAAATAAAATAAACAAAAAATTATAACATAAAATATTTTAAAAAACAAAATTATAAACTATACAAACCAAAATGACCCAAAATTATAAAATAATATAAATTTCAAATGACAAAATTGTAAAAAGAGATTGTTTAAAAATAATATACAATCTAAATGAAACCAAAATGTTAAATAATATACAATATAAAATAAACAAAAATAAAATAATATGAACCTAAAATGAACACAAAATTGTAAAATATACAATCTCTTTTAATTTCATACAAATATAAATACTTCATTTATTTATAAATTAAATTTTAATTGTAAATCAACGATTTATTAATTTGAAATATGAACTTTTTGACCTGAATTAGCAAAAAATTAATATCCAATTTCATCCGATTGATAATGGACTAAAATTTAAATACCACTATTTCGACTAGGTAATTTTAATTTAGCTATTATGCCACAATAAATTTTACAGGTAATCTGTTATAAGATCAACCTACTATCCTAAATGTAATTTCACCATCTTGTATAGTTAAATTTTTAGAATCACCAGCATAATAAATAATGTAAGCTTAAATATAATTTCCACTCAATTAAAAATAAAAATAATAAATGGAGCGATTTCATCCTCCGGCAATGTCATTCTCCAATTAAAAGTATTGAAATAATTATATTTATCCTAAATGTATCTATTTTCCCTTCTAATTACTTGTCCATTTATTTTATCATCAAGTTGTAATTATGTAATGAGGTATACTATCATATTAAATAAATATGAACAAAAGTAGGTTGAGCCAATGTTCGTCTTAATATATTATTAATTCTGATTCGCCTGACGATATATTATTTTCATATTAGAAATTTATAAATAATAAATAAATTAGGGTAATAAAAAATTATTAGTGGTACTATAAAAATCGATTAGTAAAAAGTGATCGTCAAAATATTTGCATTTAAAATACTTTTATCCAAAGATTTTGTGGATAATTAATTTTATTCTTAATACATTTCTTTAAAACTTATTTGTATTCATATTGTAAATATAATCTAATATGAATATAAAATAATATACATTGTTTAAACAAAATTGTATATCCTCTCAAAGACTGGACTTCCACCCAATACCAACGTTAAAATTTATCGATATTCATTTAAATCTATAATATATTCTAATAATAAAATCAATAGATGGCGTCATTTAGAAAAAGTCACTGTTAGAAAACTTTTTTAGTGTTAAGGTAGTTTAGAGTAATCATGAGAGTTTTCCTTCTTATATTAGTTTAATTATATTATATGAAATCTCAAGTAACTAATTAAGTAAGAAAAACAAAATCAAACAATTTCAACTTTGGTTTCCTTGATAGAATCTGGGTTATAATTTATATGTCTTCACCATACAAAGCATTGTCCTCATTAACTAATATTTATTCTCGATATTCGTTGGCAACCTAAAATAGATAAATTATATATAACTTGAAAATTTAAGTTACCGCATTTTTCTCCGCATAATCTTTTCTAATAATTATTTCATCTGGTCACCAGATTGGTTTATATTAATAACCAATTCAAGTTCAAAATTTATATTCATATCATATTTACTTTGCATAAACTTTTTTCATAAATTTTAGGATAAATAGTAATAATGATTACGCCAGTAATTTTGAGATAATGATTGTTAAGCTTCTGATATATATATTATTTTAATCAAATATTGTATTTTTTAACAATATGATATCATCAACATAATATTTTACACAACAGAAACCTATATAATTGAACATCTGTGTATTATGAAAACCCTTATAAGAACTTTAATTTGTGGCATTTGTTGGCCATCATCATACGAGATGCTAGTATAATCAGATTTTAAAAAGAAACAACTATATATTTAACCTAATTTTTTTTATTAAATTAAAGTAAATCAACCAATATTTTAAGTCTATAAAACTTGAACGATGAACATGATAGAAATGAAAAATGCATCTTACATAAAAATATTTTCAAGTTAGGAAACACATTTTAATTAGTAACTTATCTTGTC